TCGTGCACGCGGCGCGCGCACACCCTAATTGGAATCGATATGAGCAAGCACTCGAAGAAGAACTAAGGGATCCCACCCTCATCTGGACACCACCCAAGGGAGCTGTTCCCCCACATAGCCCTTAGAGATGGACCCTGTGGTTGAGGAACCAACCAAACTCGCATCCCCAGCCTGGTAGCCCCTGGGTTTACTTTTCCTCTGAGGCTGCATTTTATTTTCTCTTCTTTTTAAATTCTCATCCTATTAATTTTTGATCTTAAAAAAAAATCTTTCCCCGAACTGATTGCTGCTTAAAGGTGCTGTTACAGGTGGTGGTGGTGAGTCACATAGTTGGTGCTACTCTTCCATCTGGGTCAATGCTGAGCTCAGGCCTCAGTTCACCATTGGGGGGCACTAAACTGCTAGAAGTGCCTCCTTTCACTTCACAAAATAGTATATTTATGTGTGTTCATTTGTATGGATGTGTCTTATATTTTTATGTGCCAGGGTTAGGAAAAGGATTGTTACTTTAAGCAGCAGTCCCCACTGGAATGTTACTAGCACTAGAATGTTGCTATGGGAGCTCACCTAGAACCAAACCAAGGTTTGCTGGGGTGGGATTCCATGGTGGCAAGTCTTGTGCAGTCTGAGGGATACCTTGAAAACAATGGCTATGTAATAATGATGTTGAGAGAGTCACTGTCAAGAAGCCAACATGTAGATATTAAAGATGTTAACAGTGCTATATGAGAATATTTATGTCTTGTCCTAATTCTCATTTTGCATTGATTTTACACCTGTGTCATGTCTTCTCTTTCCTTCTGTAAATCTGCAAGTGTTGTCTATTCTTTAGGCCTATTCCTGTGTCAAGTGCAGTCAGTGTCAAAAATCTCATTTACTTCAATCGTGCAAGTAAAGCGTGTATGTTGTGTGTGTTTGCAGTTTGCTTTTAAGTACTAATTTAAGTGTATACTACAATGTTCATTCAGAGATCTGGTTGGGATTCTCACATTCAGGTTTGATGAATAAACCAGAATGTGTGTTTATACATTCATAATCTAATCAATCTATTTTGGATATTTCTGATGCTCCTTTCTTCATAGTATCAATGTCGGCTACTGACTGTAGAGAAAATCTGTCATTCAAGAGCACATGAAATGAGAGCAGGAGATGGAGAAACAAACAGTTGAGACTAGCCAAGAAATATTTCTCAGTGGCAGAAAATTGAGGAGAAAACATTTGTCCCAGTCAAACCATTGGATTAGCGGAGGGTTTGTTCCAGGACAATCTGTTTGACATTCACATTGTGTTATTCCTACATTCTCTCCTGGTGATGAGACATCGGTTCCTGCTTACACACCCATTCCCAGCATATCCCCTTTGAACACAGACAGCAGCTGCCTATTATGAAATGCTAATCAACATCAATGACGTTGTTTGTATGTGATGGTATAAAAGTGTAGCCAAAATTAATCAAGATGGATTTTAGACTACACGTGCCCATTTTTTAATGCTATCCATTTCTGATTTGGTAGCAAGATGGAGACCAGATATTGTGAGGCTGTACTAGAGTCGCTTTCCTTTCTCCAAAAGTATTTTCCTTGTTTAATTTTTCCTGTTCTCTCAGATATCACATTGGCAGGACTGTGTGTCAAGGTGGATCCTTCAGTTCCTTTTTGTAGAGTGGGCCTATTTCTTGTTTTTAATCCAAAGGGTGTAACTGATTTTTTTGGTCAGGAAAAGGTTTTACATTATCTACCTTTGCCTATTTATTGATCTGAAAAAGGCTTTTGGGAACAAGCCAGTGTAAGCCTATGAAGGAGAATGAGGATGTGTAACTTCAGCCTCACCAGAGGAGTGAGTCAAGTGGCTGTGTATTGTGACACAAAAGGGTCCACATGGCTAGCAACAAGTAATCAAGAGTCAGAGGTGGGAGGACATGGAGAAATGGAGAGAGGAGAAAGGGACCAGAAAAAAGCAGAACAGGAGGGAAGAGTCCGAGTGGCCATTATGGAGATGAATGGAGGAACTCAGGAGAGGTGTATGGAGCAAGAAGTGGGAGCTTGGGAGGAGGTCATGCAGCAGGCTGGGGGAACCCGAGGGCAGATCATGGAGCTGGATGGAAGACTCCAGGAGGAAATCACAGAGCAGGCTATGGGAGCTCAAGGGAAGATCATGGAGCTGGATGGAAGAGCCTGGGTGGAAGTCACAGAACAGACTGGGGGAACCCGAAGGAAGATCATGGAGTTGGGTGGAAGAGCCCAGGCAGAGGTCATGGAGCAGGCTGGGGGAACCCGAGGGAAGATCATGGAGTTGGGTGGAAGAGCCCAGGAAGTGGTCACAGAGCAGACTGTGGGGGCCCAAGGGAAGATCATGGAGTTGGATGAAAGAGCCTGGGTGGAGGTCATGAAGCAGGCTGGAGGAGACAAAGGGAAGATGATGGAGCTGGATGGAGGAGCCCAGGTGGAAGTCACAGAGCTGGATGGAGGAGCCCAGGCAGAGGTCACGGAGCAGGCTCGGGAAGGCCAGGAAGTGGGCATGAAGCTGGTGAAGGACCTTTTGGCAGTGGTTGCCACTTCTGCTCTTCCCCAAGATGAGAAGACAGAATTGGAGTTTGTGACCCTGCAGTTTATGATGGGGGGTAATGTACACCTGGTCGGGGAATTGCAGAGCCAACACACAGTGGAAGAGTTCCAACAGGAAGTGTTTGCTAGGTTCCCCATACCAGCATTCCGTGTGACTAGCACAGTGGCCTGTAATCAAGCGACCAGCCGCAGGGCTGAGAGAGGCCTCTCACTCCATGAACTTGGCTGCTCCGGGCAACAGGACAGAATCTACTCACAGCTTATCTTTTTCCTGTGCAGTGCCTCCTCCTTGACACACTGGGTGGGGCTAGACCGATTGCTGGAGATGCTACAACAGCTGAAGCGCTGTATCGACTATATTCCAGTGGCCCTGGTTGGAGTGATTGTGCAAGCAGACCCAGAGCTGGATCTGGAGCAGGAGGTGAAGGCACTGCGGTGGCTGAAGTGCCTGCTGGATGGAGTCTTCTATGGTGATTTGTTGCCAGGCCATGACGGGACAGAACAAGAGGTGCAGGTTCAGGTGGCTGTCTACCAGTCAGGCTGGCCTCAGCGGGCTCTAGAGGTTAAGAGAGCAGCCTGCCAGGCAATACGAGCGGCCCTGAAGTTCTGAACGGGCAACATGTGAGGTGCATCAGGATTACAATGGGTAAGTCTAAGCATGGAGCACATAAGTGGCATGGAGCACAAGAGCTACATATGGGAGTTGGCTGAAGAGGAGAAGAGTTGGGTGAAGGCGGCATGGGAACAGAACAGAGATGGAAGAATAGAAATATGGCATTCTGGGTCTGGGGAAGTGGCACATAGTTACAATACACAGGAGTTGGAATTGGGGAAAAAGCCATGGGAGCAGAGTATAGGCAGGTGGGGAAGAGTACATGGGGACAGTGTTGCTGTACGTGGATAAGGCAGGCTCTGCAGGAGATGGAGCATGAATGCTTGTGACATCCTCACTCCATGCTCCTTTCATCCAAGAGCTGGGTAGGGGGAATGGGAAACACTCATTGCACTTGGAATTGGGCCCAAAATGTAATGGAAGCCAGGCAAGGGTTGTTTTGAATATTTTGAGGGGAAACTTAAAATTAATGCTTTAATGTTAATGGAGCTCCCCACCTCAGTGTACCCCCTCCCCCCAATAAACTGTCCTGCCAATTTGATCACAAAGTATGCAATGGCTTCACTGCATTATTTTTTCATATTTTAGTCTACTGAGAGGATAAATGTATGTTATTATTTATAACTAGAGTACTTCAGGATGGTTTCCATATCTCACGTCATGTCTTTTGTGGGTAAAATGTAACTGCCTGAAGTCTGCCATTAACTCCTTTGGTTAGTTGCAAAGCACAATTTATCAGCTGAACATTTTACTTTACCATCTTCTGTAGCTTGAGTCATATATTTTCACACCTTTCAGAAAAAGCATAGAAAAGACCCAGCAAATTCAGACAGTTCATCCTGTTTTTTACAGCTTTGAGGCTTATGACCCAATTGTGGTTTGCCTGTGTCAGGAGCTTATCTCTATTCTAAATAGGCTCCTGTTTAGCTCTTTTAAAACAGTGAAAACTTTATATATAATCAATAGGTGTGTGTGTAGTGTGAAATTCAATTTCATGGCAATGCATTGACTAGTACAATGTTTCCTTAACTAACAGAAAGGACATGCTATTTGGATGGGTGTAATTTGTAAAGTCATGTGTGACTGACTGCTGCAAGAAAATATTAAACAGAGAAGGAATACAAATCCAAAACATGCACATTGCAGTTTGACAATGTATGCTCATATAACAACTTTGGCTTATACCACCTAACTCAAACAGACCCATCTCCTTCCCATTGGTAAAATTACTTAGGATGTTTATCCATGTTTTCATACAATTTTGAACCACACATTTTATGACTATTGAAAGCATGTAGTTGTTTTCATTGTGTGTCAGACAAATGGTTGCTAACTTGAGTGCTATATTTATTTGAATATGAAACTTATTACCAAGGTATGTTTCACCAATCTTGGTATACTGCTTTACCAATACCATACTCATTGCTGAAGTATGTGTTCACTATAGTCTGGCTTTGGACTTTTAAACTCGCTTTATTCATCTGTGAATGTGAGGGAGATAATTTCAGGCTGAAAAGTCAACCTTTAATACACATATCTCCTTAGTTGCTCAGAGGGAGATTCCAGTTACCCTAATCTCATCCCTAACAGAGGAAATGGAAGGCAGTTCCCCATGTACTGTCTCAACCTAGCAGCAACACTTCTCTGTCTCCTGCTCCCCTGAGCTTTCTAGGTCTGGGACCAGCCACACCATTTCCCTGACTCCTCCTTCCCACTGCTCTGGGACTCTTTCTCTGCACCAGGGACATCTGTGAAGTCAGCCCACAGGCTCTCACGCATAGCTTCCTCATGTGCACAGCCCTGAAAATCACAAGACTGGAGGAAAAAGAATGAGTAGAGACTTAGAGACTAACAAATTTATTTGGGCATAAGCTTACGTGGGCTAAAACCCACTTCATCGGGTGGAGGAGTTGTTCTTATCATGACAGATTCTCCTGAATGTGCCAAAATCCTGCAGGAGGACTTGCAATCAATTCATGAGAGTTTAGCAGGGGCCCTGCCCCATCCATTACCCCCACCTCATCCACACACCCCTGTCCCCTGACTGCCCCCGGACACCCGCTGCCCCATCCAACCCCTCTCATTCCTGATGCCCCCCCGGGCCTCCTGCCCCATCCAACCACCCCTTCTCCCAGTCCCCTGACTGCCCCCCGAACCCTGCCCGTCCCCCACCACCCCCATCCAACCCCCCTCCTTCCTGACTGCCCTCCCAGGATCCCTGCCCTTATTCAACCCCTTGTTCTCCCCCCCGACTGCCCTGACCACCACCCCAAACTCCCTGCCTTCTATCAACCCCCTCCCTCCACTCCCTGCCCCCTTACCGCGCTGCCTGGACCACTTGTTGCTGGCGGCGCTACAGCTGCACCACCCTGCTGGAGCCAGACCATGCCGCCACCATGCAGCACAGTGACCAGGTCAGGCCAGGCTCTGCAACTGCGCTGCCCCAGGAGCTCTCAGCCCTGCCGCCCATGTGCCGGCTGCAGAGCTGAGGCTGCGGGGGAGGGTGGACAGCAGGAGCTCGGGGTCCAGGCAGGACGGTCCCGTGGGTCAGATGTGGCCCGTGGGCCGTAGTTTGGCCACCTCTGATCTAGGCGCTTTTATCTGCTATTTACCAGGGTATAATTTAGAACCCAATTATTTCAGGTGCTCTGCACCCTCTGGGAGTTGCTAAGTGCCATTGCCTCCCATTAGGTCAATAATGGAAATTCAAGGTGCTCAACACATCTCAGGATTAGCCCTCCAAAATGGGCCTGAATCAGCCCCACCTAAGGTGAAACCCTAGCCCTATTTAAGTAAGGGGAGTTTTGCTATTGATTTCATTTTTAACTTGAGAATTTTGGAGCAAATTGTGTAGTTCTTTCTGGATTAAGTCTGATTCATTACAGTTTTGTTCTAAACTTGTTAATATCTCCCTTAAGATGCTGTCTCTTTTCTTTACAGCTCCTGTATTACAACTGAAGATCTCAATTAGCAATGGAAAATCAATTCCGATTTTGTCCCAGTTATCGGTGTGCTTCTTTTAATTTTGAAAATAGTTATTGCTTAATATTTGTTGCAAAACAAAACCACTTTAGATATCTGCATTGTGACATCACAAATAGCTAAGAGCCACAGTGTGCTATAGCAATATACGGAGAGCTGGATGGCTCAATGTACGGATAATGGCTATAGAATGTTATGTTTTGAATTATAGCTACTAAGCCGTGACATTCGGAAGATTTCCAAGTACCATAGCTTTCTCCTGGCCTGTAAATTGTGGAATGAGCCCAGTTTGCACTATTTATGTCTTAGATGAGTTTTTTTTCCACCACAGCACTATCCCTATATTTGTTGGACTTGCCTTTGCAATTGAAATGGATTGTAGGCTCGTATGATCATTTTCACTGCTTTAGAATACAGTCCCCATGTTTCAAGAAAGCTTTATTCCATTCTTGTCTGCTTAATTTTTATACACAGAAATTTCCTGAGATGATGAAAATACCAAGAGCATAAATGAATGGAATATTTTCTTTTTTGGTTCAATTTTTATTGGGAATCCTCTATTAAGAGCAGCCATACTGGTCAGACCAATGGTCCATCTAGCCTAGTATCCTGTCTTTCAACAAGCTGCTTCATAGGGAATTAAAAGAGGAGGGCAATTATCGAGTAATCCATCCCATCATTCACTCCCAGCTTCAGGCAGTTAGAGGCTAGGGCTGCCCACAGCATAGGGTTGCATCCCTGTCCATCTTGGCTAATAGCCATTGATGGACCTCTCTATCCATCCTCTGTATTACACTGGGACTTACCGTTATAGGTCTCTATTGAGGGTTAGAGAACATATTAGATGGTACTGTTTAACTACTCCACAGAGTTTACAGGTTCTTGACTAAATTATGAGTGCCTGAGTAATCATTTAATTTATGCACCCCTGATTTGGGCTGGATTCAGCTGCCATTGAAATCAATGGAAAGACTCCATAGGGACTAGAGCAGACACTTAGCAAGAATGTGAGTTATGGCAGAGATTATAAAACTGGGGAAACCTATATAGAGAAATCTTTAAAAAAAGGTAATCAGCTTTTTCTCAGAATATTAATATTCTTCTTGTCTGCACAGGGTAGTTACCAGACCCAACCGGAGTGTCTTTGACCCTTTAAATTGCTGGTGGGGAAAGCAAAACCAGATGCCACTAATTTATATGCATCAATGATGAAGCAGCTAAAGCTTCCTTTACTCTTTGGTATAAAACCAAATCACGGACAATTTTAGCCTATTTAGCCCAGGTCAAAAACCACATTTATAAATTATTCACAAAAACCTTCGTCTTAGGTGGGTGGAAGAGAGACTAGTAGGTAATTTACAAGGAGACAAAAATTCCAGCTACCCAGTGGTAGTAATAACCTGATCATCTGAGGGTGCAAAAAAGATGAGGATCATGCATCTATCCACTCAATCTGAAAGAAAGGGTCTTCCTTTGTTTGTACCCTTGCGTGAACTACATTGCCCCGGCAAACTTTGCTTAACTTGTGTGCACAACAGAAATTACCAGAAAATTAATATAAAGTGTGATCAAATAATAAATGTTCCATTTCTAAATGTTTTATAAAGGGTAATAAATGGTTAATAGATGCTATAGACATGTATGTGTACATATGTGGAAAGTGTTATAGATGCTTATAAAATAACCTGTGACAGATACTGCAACTGCATACAATATTTTTGGGGACTATATTGTATTAAGTTTATGTATCATTGTGGGCCTAGGATGGTATGCAACTTAGGGGAGGGGGAGTGGGAGGAGGTAGGGGGAGGGGAATCATAGCTCCTTCAGGTGCCAAGAACAGTGGGGGCTGTTAGACTAATAATGATTAACCCTTTACTAAAATATTAATCATTTACTAACAAATTATAAATGGAACCTTACTATGAAGTATGACCACTATTTGTATTCCAATAGTCCCTAGAGGTGCTAACCAATATGGGCAGCATTGTGAGGTTAAAGTATTTTATGGATTTCTGTTTTAAAGCTTTAGTTTGTTTCTCATGAGCAGAAGCTACAGCTGATGAAGGACAACCTCTCTCTTATAGAAGATGTTAGTCTACTGGGTGGTCACTGAATATCCAATGGCACTTTTATTCTGATAAGTGCATTTAACTATCTACATTCCAGCAACTGAATAGGATATTCTGCACCTCTTCTCAAATATCATGCATAGTCACACTAGGGTGAGAAATAGCTGCCTAGTTTCAACCCACAGGTGGCTGTAGAGGTGTTTAAGTGTTCCATATTTTAGCCACATGATAGGATAAGTAATTTATGTATTTTAAAAGTTACATAATTTATGCATTTGGCTGAGCTCTTCAAAGACACCCAAGGGATTTGGACACACTGGTCCTATTAATTTTAATAGGAATTGAGTAGCCAAATCCCTTATGCATCTTTGAAAAAATCTCATTAACTCAAGGCAGCTTTCTCCCACTGCAAGGCCACACAAGGGTCCTGGCCAATGGAACTGTTTTCCACTCAGGGCTGGCACCAAGCACCAGTGAAGGAAGCAGGTTCCTGGGGCAGCCAATAGAAAGGTGTGGCACTCCATACGTTACTGGGACGGCACATCCCGGTCTGCGGCGGCAAGTCCTTCAGGTCCCTCTCTTCGGCGGCAACTCAATCACTCCACTTGTAGTCCTCGGTGGCGCTTTGGCGGCAGGTCAAGCGGCTTTTTTTCCCCTTTTCTCCCCCCCCCCCTCCACTTGGGGCAGTACAAAAGCTGGAGCTGGCCCTGTTTCCACTGGGCATGGCAAGAGCTGTAAATGGAGGGGGACACTCATTTTCTATAGACCTCAGTTCTACCTGAGCTCTGAGCAACAAGACAAAGTTGAAGCTAGGCTGAGAGCATCATGTGATAAAGAAAACAGTAATACTGCTAAAGCTATTCTGGAACTTCTCCAGCCCTCCCTTCATGTCTAGCTTCCTGCTGTAGGTTAAAGAAAAATAATACATAGTCTCACATCTTTTCCCTCTTATTTTTCTTTACAAGAGGTTTTAAACAAATTAAACAGCAAATTATATATCCAGATGGGTCAGTGGGTTCACCACTTGTTAGAGTCTGGTCATCATGTGAGCTGGAGTAGGGTCTTGTCCAGTTGTTTCACTTAGATTATCAAATTCCTCAAGATCGAGATTACCGTTTAATAGGTGTAATATCTTAACAGGAATATCTCCCTTCACAAAGGCCATGATGTGAGCACTTTGTTACTAGGGTCATGCAGCAACTAAAACAAGCATGGAGATAGAAAACAAGTAGCATTGTCAGCTTTGTACAGAACCCCTTGATGAGCCTGAACCTTGTTATAGGTTAGGCTGTGATCTCCCCTCAGTCTTCTTACTCCCTCCCCCTTTTTAAAAATCCTTTTAATAGACCTCCCTTTGAAATATAAAGCAGCTGCTATCACCGCAAAGGCTTACTTTTAAAAAAATGAAACTCTACCATTACAAGAGTTATCAGTAGGACTGGAGCCGAAGGAGCCTTTCTGATGTTCTTCTTCTCAAATTTGCTTTTCCTGTTCTCACACTTAGTCTTGCAGACATCACCGAGACCTTTCAAATAAACCTCACTTGATGTTGCTAGGACATGCCTTTTTTTGCGGTAGTTGTAGCAAAGCATTAGGAGAATTTTCAGTACATAATCAACGCCTAAACATCTAAAGCCCTCTGAGAAACAGTTTGGTTGAAACGCCTCAAATTTGGACAAACATCTGTCCTGTTGTTACAGACAACACATACATTTGAAGTACAAGTGACCTATTTTGAGGATAAAAATCAGACATAAATGGGAATCAAGTCTCAACTTTAACTATGGAGCGGCTATTGTGCTTGGATTTAGGAACAGGCAATGTAATTCTTATTTCTAAAAAAAAATTATTATTTTTTTTGGATGAACAGGTGTACACATTTTCTCTGTAGCTCCTTTCTTCTTCCTGTTTGGAATGCGTCCGAGATGAAACACAAAAAGTGCTCTAAATGAGCAGAAGTTCTTTCAGTTCTACAGCAGTAACTCCTCCATGAATATGCATGTTTCAGAATACAAAACTGTACCAACCATATTATTTTAAATTTACTTTTTAGTATATACATTAACACTCAAAAATGTGATGAAAAACAAATACACATCATGATGAGATACAGACTGCAAAGTTAAATAAAAAGTGGACTTTTTACAGTTTCAGATGAACATAAACTACAATAAGTGCATAGGCCAAACATTTCTTGCTATTTGAGTAGCACAGCAAAAAGGAAAAAAAAATGAACATTTTAAAATGATACTGCAAGACTATATTCTCAATACAACAACACGTGCATCTTGCTGTGTCTTAAATACTCTTTTGGCCCAATACTAAAATCCCCTCCCTCCCCCCCCCCCCATGTTGAACAACGTATTATACCACAGAACCTTTATCCATAGAATGACAAACTAATTACAGGGCCATATTTTTTCTCTAGCTAATAGTTACTTTAAAGGCTAGGAATTGTCTCCATTTTAAGAGATTTCAAGTAAATACTTTGGGAGTATTTCTATGTTCTCCTCTTGATGCAGGCACGTAATTTCCATTAGTTTTAAGGGAATAACATGTGGGCAACAAGAGCAGAATACACCCTCTTGGGCTCTATTCATCCAAAAGTATTGCAGCTGTGAGTACCAGTTATGAGGAGAACATGAAATCGACTTTCAAAATTCCAAGCACAAGAGCATTGGAAGTCAGTTTGTTCCATTCTTTACCAAAGATGGAGGCATAGAATTCTTCCCCCTGTTGATGGGCACCCAGGAAATATCCATCTCTTAAGTCAGTGGACTTTGACAGTCATGCTCTGGATATTGAGTTATCACTAGTAGAAAGGGAAAGGGGAAACTTTACAAGAAATTAAAGCAGTTTTGAGACCATGGTGGCCTTAAGGCAGAAAAAGAGGATTAGACCTTTTCCACTAAAAATACAACATTAAGACAATTTTGGCCAGTTGATAATCTCAAGGGATCCAAGAAAATTAAAATCAAGCCTAGAGATGGATTAAATGTATTTGCTGCTATGAAGAATCAGGTTTGGGCCCTCATGAACTAGGAGAACAGGATAGGCTTAGAAAGAGGATTAAAGATCAAGTCTTGCCCAACTTGTCTCTCCACGCCTGAGCTATTCAATAAAACAGGGCTGCTGGGTATGACCATGGATTAGATAATTTCAGATAGTGGGCCAGATTCTCAGATACTGTAAATCAGCATAGCTCCACTGAAATAAATGGTGCTACCATAATTTACCTCAGCTGGAGATCTGGGCCAGATTATTTAATAGGATCCATTTGGCATGTGAATTATTATTTTAAACTTATTACCTCTAATGAACAACACACCACACAGTGAAAATAAGGACACTTAAAATGTAAGGTGTATGTGTTTTGAAGCGTGTTTGAGCATCAAGTTTTGTGAGCATTGGCACAAGTGGTTGTGTTATAAAAGCAAAATGAACTATCTCAAGTAATGTTCCCATGGTGGTACCTCTCCTATCAACATTTTGCCTAATTCCTGAACAAATGGTTTAAATTTGTAAACTATGGTATTTTTAAAAAATTTCTTTGTTTTGTATATGCTCTTATTTTTGGCCACAAGGGCTAAATGACTAACACATGCCTTTAGAATTCTGTAACCCAGATACTCAGAAGTCAGATGAATGTTCTACTCCCAATGCCATGTCAAGAGCACAGCCATCTTTTCTGAGATCAGATTTCATAAAGCACCCAACTGTCATCATGAAGTAGGGAGAGAAACTCTTTTTAAGAGGACAGCTTTCTTTAAACTAGTGAGCTGCAGAGATCCTTGAAGCCTTAAAAACAGAAGCAAAAAAAAATAAGCAAGGCCATAGCACTCCTGAAATTGAGAACTGAATGAAGCTGGTTAATAGAAAACAAGTACACCTCTACCCCGATATAACGCGACCCGATATAACACGAATTCGGATATAACGTGGTAAAGCAGTGCTCTGGGGGGGGGCTGCACACTCCGGCTGATCAAAGCAAGTCCGATATAACGCGGTTTCACATATAACGCGGTAAGATTTTTTGGCTCCCAAGGACAGCGTTATATCGGGGTAGAGGTGTATTTAGAATTATATGTGTTTTACCAGCCAGTCAGTGTCACCAGCTTGCAATCAGGAACGTTCACAGGGCTTGTCTACGCTTGGAATGCTATAGAGGCACAGTTGCGCCACTGTAGAGCTTCAGTGTAGACATTACCTATGCTGACAGGAGGGATTCTCCTGTCAGTGTAGGTACTCCATCTCCCTGAGAGGCGGTGCCTAAGTCAACAAAATAATTCTTCCATCCACCAAGTGCTGTCTATGCTGGGGTTAGGTTGACTTAACTATGCTGCTCAGGGTGTGGATTTTTCACATCCCTGAATGATATAGTTAAGATGACTCAATTTTCTAGTGTAGACCAGGCCTCAGCAAGATAATAAATTAATTTTCATGTATCACATGGACAGGCAAACAAAGACGGAAGAATCTTTTTCAGATGAAGGGCTTAATTCTGATAGCTCATATGCTGCTGTGAATTAAGAGTAACTCCATTGAAATCAGAGTTATACCAGTGTAAAGGGACATCAGAATTACTGGAAGCCCAAAGTCTCTGCTAGGTCTGGCTCTTGCACACAAACAAAATGTTTCTACACGTAGGCTCAATTTCTGATTAGTTCGTCTGATCAGTGGAGACCTAAAAACAGGACATCTGCAGCATGGAAGAGTGCAAAACATTTTGGACAGATAGAGCCTTATATAAACTGAGACAACTTTGACCAAAGAAAAAATAAATACAAATTCACTATTGGTATGAAATATATTGCAACATTAATTGGGCTTCAATCATCTGCCACAGTGTCCACAGCTGTATAGTATTTGTATAAAAAATGTGGTTCTTCATTCAAGTAAAACCTTTAAAAAATGAAATATGGAAGTTGTATTTTTAAACAAAAAACCTTAGAAGCAGTATATCACAATCCTCTCCAATACCACACAGTTTTCTTTAAATTGAAGCATTTTAAAGATGTCTGACCTCACAATACATCATAATTTCAAGTGGCTTTTTTGTTTTTAAACTGGTCCAGCCTAGGTCTGTAACCTGTACAGACATGAAAAACAGGAGGAAATCACAATTATTGTTCAGCACAAATATTGAGCATGTCAGTTATAAAATGACAAAGCAAATAAAATGTCCCCAAAATTAACAAACATGGGCTACTGACCAGTATGGGGCTTAGATGACTTTACAAGAGAAAAAATAACCACAGAGGTCATCAAATACAAAGTTCTTTACATGCTGCATAATTCTGACAGTGCCCTTAATATCTAGGCGTTTTATATTTTTTCCACAAGATGCCAAACCACTTACAATTTTGGTTTTGTTTAAATGCTTTTTATAAAATTAAATTATACTGTTAGACGGTATTTTACCCATGAAGAAACTACTGATGCACTCCTTAAGAACAGAAAAGTATGCATATGTAAGTCAGTACAGGAGTTTCTTCTGCAACTTTTTGGAAAACAAATATATTTCAACGGAAAAAATAAAATCAGCAGCAGCCTGTTTTGTCATTGAAACAAATGTGTAGTTTCACAGTTGGGAAAAAAAAATAGTTACATTGTTTTACAATTCAATACATATTCTTTAAGTCACTTTTTTCTAATGGCTTTGTAATAAAATGTAAGGACAAATCCTGGGCTCCTGACTCTGATCAGACTCCTACTACAATAGGCTTCTATGGGAGTTTTGCTGGAGCAAGATGCTTAGATTCAGTCCAAGCACAAAATCAACTATTTTAGTGTTTGCACAGCTATTCAGAACAAAGGGAAGATTTTCAAACCTCTATTCAGGTTAAATGTCAACTGTAAAAAAAAAAACTATTTAAAAAAAAATCAAATTCCAAACAGTCTAACAAAATCTACAGCTCAGTCACCTATGAATTCAGGATCCTTTTTCTGTAGCTGAGATAGTGGATTTAATTCTCTCACACACCCCATTCTAAATTAGGAGTAACCTCATTAAAGTCAATGGACTCATATCAATATAAAACTGGTGTAATTGAGAGGAGAATAGGGCTTAGTATATTTAGGGTCAACTTTTTTTCTTTAAATATACTTTCTTGTTACTGTGAACAACTGTTTCAAACCCCACACCTCCATCCATTATCTTCCCATGCTTCCATTTTGTTTAATTCTAAAGTTACCCCAAGCCCTAGTATACCTGGGTTGGCTACTCAGTTTGCTTTCTTCTAGCATGCACATAAGAAACTCTTTTATAGTTTGTGCAGTGGTTGGTTGCAGTAACTCTTGAAGATATTGGGCCTGATTCTTCACAGCCCTACAACAGGTGCAAAGTGGGTGCAAACACTACCATTCTAATATGGCAGCATTTAACACAAGGTGCAAAATATGGAGAATCTGGCCCATAAAATCCAATAAGCTTGATTGGACTTTTTAATTCAGGTCCTAAAAGGCATCTCTCTACAGGGCAATATGTTGTCTCAATACAAGGGGAATCATAAGGGTAATTAATGTAGCACTTAATGTGGCACTTGAGTAACACGCATCTCTCTGTTAAATCATGAATTACCGCACTCAGGGTTTCAGATTTGTATAATTTAACTGAATTTCTTGCTGTAACTAATCCCCAATTTTAAAAACTCTAGAACATTAGAGTGGGTTGACTAATAATAAATACACATAAGGGTAGTTATGTTCTATAACTACAACTTAGTGAAAACACTCACATCTGAGCAAAGGAACATGTGAATTCTGCTGGATTGCTCTAAAATGTTCAGTAGAGATAAGACTAGCCATATTTCCCCATACAAATCTTTGTATTTTTCATGAAGTGTTTTACCACATGATTTAGTACCTCTGTGTTTAATAACTAACTAGGAATCAAATGACTACAAAATTGTCTTAAAAGACCAAATAAAAGCCTTGGCTTTACAATCCCCAATTCACTGCTATCCCGGTCTTCTAGAATATAATTGATTGCACATTTTTAACGTATTACAATTTGCTAAATGAATCCAATCACTCAATACTTCATAAATACAGCCTGTACAAAGTACAGTTTATTTATAAAGTTATACTCTAATACCAACTGTCAGCACATTTATATTACATCTGGTATTGCACTTCTTTTGAAGGGCACCTACACACACGTGTGTCTGTCTGTGTGCATGCATGTGAATAAACCCATCCGCCTCAAACTCCTGGACTTTTGGAATTCACTTCAAATGCTGTGAATCTAACAAGTTTAAAACACTGGAGTAAATGTCATCCTCAGAATCCTGGGTTTAGCAAGTTATTGGCAAAAATATTTAAGAGTTTATAAAAAAGTGTTTCAGAATCCCAAGTTCTGCCTGCAACTGAGCATAAGGACTATCTAAAAAACTCTGGTAGTCTTGATACTTGCAAAAACTGGTGCCCAACAATTAGATTTTTCTCTCATATTCTCACACAGAGCATATGAAAAAGCCAGAGCGCGTGTGCAAGTGCATGCATGCTATAAAATGTTTGTTTTGCAGCTCTATATGCTGTGAGCTTTCCAAAGTGTTTGCTGTAAGTAGCTGGTGATCATTTTGAAAATCCAAACTTATTTCTCATGTGTTGGTTATAGGGATTAAGCAGCTAGAAAGAGAGAAAAAAGGTGGACCCAGAGGCTGAGAGTTTAACCATACATTCCTTGAACAGCCAGCATATCACTTAGGCCATGTCTACACTTACTGGTAGATCAGCAATGCTGCAATTGATGTAGCGGTGCTGATTTAATGGGTCTGGTGAAGACCCACTAAGTTGCTGGCAGAGTGCTCTCCCATTGATTCCTGTATTCCAGCTCCCTGAGAAGAGCAAGGTACATCGGCGGGAGGGCATCTCCCATCAACACAACGTGGTGTAGACACCGCAATAAGTTGACCTAATCTATGTCAACTTCAGTTACGTTATTCACGTAACTAAAGTAGCGTAACGTAGGTCAACTTACCATGGTATTATAGACCAGCCCAAAGTAATGTTAAGAATATTGCCTGAGATTCTTTGAAGAGACTTGGGCCAAGTTCACCTCTGGCACAAGTGGGTATATCTCCCACTGATTTCAGTGGTACTTGTGTACTTTTTCACCAGGGTTGAATTTGGTCCTATGAGTACAGCTGAACACCATCAGTCACATGATGGACAATGAGAGTCTTGGACAGAGAGAACTGGGTTGCAAAATTAAATGAGTGAATATGGGACAAATCATGTAAATAAAGAATATATATTAATAGTTCCTATTATATAAATAGCCTTTATAAAAATAATCTTTCAATAATTTTAATAACTAACCCTTCGCTAGGCTCTGGAAAACATGTGTGAAAAAATCTATTGTGTTCAAGTTAGATTAAATCAAACCCCAAAGTGAACACTACAATGTTTTGTTGCACTAAACCCTATCCTGCCCATTCAATTTCTAAGCCAGTCATTTGGGATGGTGGGGACCAGAGTTTCTTTGTGAAGCTATAAATTTTATCCCTACAAATACTGTCCAGGAGAATACCATACATAGTAGGCTTGTTTCCTACTTCTTTCAAAATGGCGCAGATGACAGATCCAGAAGTCAAAGGTTCAATTAAAACCAAAATATATTATGCCTCTGACTAAATTTAAAAGGAACTGTCCCCTCACTTTAATCTTTTAAATCTTTGAGCTGAAAACGCCTTCAGTTTCAACACTATACCTACTATTTAAATAACCATGAAAACACTAAATTTTCTTCCTTTTCAACTCTTTGAAACCCTACATAATCTTTAAAGTGATACTAGACCTACTGTAATATGTGATGGTCTATTTTTGATGATAGCATGATTTTCCTTTTCCCAAATTATCTGAATTAAAAGCAAACAAAAAAACCCTGCCAATCTTCCAAGTTTACCTTTTTGGGTTTAAGGCATAATATGAAATTGCACATCACACGAAAGCTTAATTTTGAAGTGTACAGTTTTAGTGCTATCCGAACCGCTCCCCCCCCTTTTTTTTTTGAACGTCTGGATATTTCATCTCTGCTCTTGCTGTAAATTCTAATGCCGTCTGTGGTTTGTGCAATTCCAATGCAACCAGTCTTTGCTGCTGACAAATTTTAACAGTGCAGTGTAGCACCCATAAGTGGGCTATCAGTTTTTTAAATTCTTCACTTTCATTTCAGTTCAAGGCATGTTGCTTTATTGTGTGGAAGATCCAGTCCATTTTCGTTGTCCAGCCACCATGATGAGCATCATTCATCTGCTTCATGAAATATTCTAAAGCTTCTTGTTCACTTTTGTCCAGTGCAAGTGTCTTTCGAATGTACGCAATATCATCAAAAGACTGTAATTCTGGCATTCCTGAGCCAAGCATCATGGAGAAGAGATTTATGAAGAGATTGGCATGCTGCCGAATTGCTAAGTAAGCCTTATAACACATCTCCTGAAACCTTGAAAAGAAAGACAAGAGTTGGTTGGTTCAAGATAGGTGCTATTGGAACCACAACAACTTTCATTTTTTGGAGGAAACAGAAGATGAGAGGCAAGTAGGCCACTATAAAAAGTTTGAGAGGCCAACTCTGTGGGGTGTTTTTATTTTTATTTTTTTTTAATATAATGTAAATGCCACAATGGCACTGAAAAAAATTCTTCATTGTATCATCTTCCTAAATGTCCTCCACTTAGGGAAAGTTTATGCTACTGGTTAAGTCGATCTAACTTACGTTGCTCAGAGGTGTGAAAAAGCACCTCCGCCCCAGCAACGCAAGTTTTGCACTGTCCACACCAGTGCTATTCCGACGGGAGAGTCGCTATAGTGGTGCATCTATATCGGTGCAGCTGCGCCGATATAGCGCTGTAGATTAGATTTGCCCTTAGATTAGGTTAATTTTCAAGTGATTTTTCAGTGACTAATTGATACCAGGTAAATTGGAGACAGGCCTTCGCTTATAAAGCCCTATTTTCAGTTCATAAGCTGTCTCAAAAGGTGAATTATTTAGGGATGTTTAAGGAAATCCACTCAGCCATTTGAGTTACGCAAGTCTAAGAAGAATACATATTTTAAGCATTAAAACAAAATTGCTCATCACCAGTAAAATTTACCAAGGTTCTAACACGAGTAAAATTACATTTTCATATCAAGTATCCTTAAGTGGTTATGTATGTGCCTGATCCAGCAAAGTCAGTGGGAATTGTGGATCAGCACCTCGAAGGATCAGGCCCACAGGACTTGAGTGCTGAGAACCAGTCAAAGATCTACCCTGGGTGGACAATTTGAAAGAGATTTGTGTCCCACAACTGAAATTAATGTAAAATTGGATGCCTACATTATGTTTCTTTGTTACATTAAGCTCTACATTTACCTATATAGGGTCTTATAGCACATAGCTTGATTCAGGTAATAGGCCAAAGTATTAAAGATCATTGGTTCTTTATTATATCTAAAAGATATTTTGCTACAAGATATACCCAAATATATACAAAAACTGATTAAATATTTTCATTTATGTGAAATAACTGCTCAATTAAAGAAATGGCTTACCTTTCAAATTCCCTTGTTTTGGTACATTCTTGGGCTCCTTTACTAATCACTATTAAGAAATCTTGTGTTAAGACAAATGGCACACGCTCTCGTTTGTAACCAAATTTTTTCTTCTTGTGATCCAGGAAGTGTCCAAAATCAATGTGAAACAGCTTTAAAGAGGGAGAAAATGGTTATACATTTTAAAATTATTTTGCTTATTTAAACAGCTTTCATAGTAACATCAGTTCATCTAGTTTTTGCATGGATTTTGTGATCCAAACATCAAAAACTAGATGATCATAATGGTCCCTTCTGACCTTAGAGTCTATGAGTCTATAATATGCCATACAATTAGTGTCTATACATCAGACAAATGGAAGATGACATATTACATAAGTGAATATTTTTAAAGAGAGGTTTTTGCAAAATAGTATCTTACTTGTCCGTCATCTTTCACCATGATGTTACTATTGTGACGATCACCAATTCCCAATATGAAGGTAGCAACACAATAGCCAGCGCAAGACCGTGTAAACAGATCAATAGCTGCATCATACCTGTTGAAAACAAACACTGGAGGCATTATTCTTCTGAAGTTCTAACACCACAGAAGTGCAGAAATAACATGCATGTAACGAAGGATATGTGTATACTAGCTTAACGAAGCCACGCAAATCAAGAGTACTTGGATTTTATCATTGAACTGAATCAAAAAGCTAGGGAGAGATTCAGCATTCTTGGAATACAATAATATCTGTAGTAAGATAAAATAATAATAATAAACTTACCATTAGAGCAACTTTTTTAAAGACATAGAAAAGAAATTTTCACTGATAAGCTACCAATGCAAATTCAGATTTAAACCATATATTTGTGCAAGTGTATATCTTAAATTGACAATTTTTTGCCAACTGCTGCACTGTCACAACAATATCACACAATGCCTTAATCTCAAGAGGAGAACTATGGATAGCAAAAATACCAGGTGTAGAGTATCGCTGTATGACTTAGTTTCCCATTCAAGAAGGGGGGCATGAAATATTTCTGTTTTGAGGCCTCCATCAAAAAAACAAAAACAAACAGGTAAATTAAAAAGGAGAATAAGTAAATGAAAAGTAAAAACCTCACATTTCTCCTTTGTTTTTGTCCTTGAGCCACTGATGTAATGTGTGACTGTTGAATTGCAATGCGCCCTTTAGACCACCTTTACACTGAATCTGCATAATTGTGTGAGAGCTTCTCACCACCTCAATAAGTCCCACACAATCACCAATAGACAAACAGCCATAAGGCAACATCCTGGAAGAAAAAAAAATATTTTTTTTTATAAAGAGCAAGTTTTCAGACAGAAAGCATTTTAATCAGTACAAAATATACATGTTTTGGTTAGTAACCTTAGTCAGATCAATACCATCTATTATTGGATTTACTTCATAGGGTTCTGCTGAAAATACATTTGAAAACCCTACAGCTGTATCATCAGAAGTGTTGAGAGAAAAAAGTGTGCAAGAATGTTAGAGTTCAATAATGTGCCTGATTCTGTGGCCACTGCATCTGGCAGGTTATTTCCTAGTTTTATACTGGGAAAAAATTTAAGCTGAAAATTACTAATGGTTTCCCCAATACCTCTGAATATTATCAATAATCATTAATGGAACTTTCAGAATGTAGGTGGATTTATCAAGACCGATTTCTGTACAGATCTTCAGACTTTAATACTAAGGGCAGGACAGTCTTCAGACTTTCAGAAAGGGAACATTCAGCACAACCTGAGTGCTACCAGAAACGCATAATACAGAATAATGCTTAAGTAAAGCCTACTTTAAGAAACCCCCCACATGCAATTTTAAAAATACATTTCCAGAGCTATTACCTGACAATATTATAAAATTGTAATGGAAACCCATGAACTGCAGCAATGCTGGTCTTAAGCTGGTCTTACTGATGGCCTTTCCTTGGAACTGGACTGAGGCCACCAAAATAAATGTTCACATAAGGCACTGATCAGTTTATAGACCCCAATATTTTGGATATCTTGAAGCTATAAAAGTTACAGTATAACATACAGAAACATGCTTACTAATCATTTTAAGTATTACAATTGTTTTTCATGGAAAAGGAAGGGAACTAGCTGTAGTGAATATGTTAAACAGAAAACATTAAGAATGGCACTTGAGAATACTCTGTTGCTTACCGTAGATCAAGACCCTGATTTTGCCAGATGTTTTCCATAATTCGAATGATCTGAAGTGTCAGCATGTCCTGGCGTAAATCTGAAATATTCAAGTACATACAGATGTTGTGGATTTTATAAGATGAGCACGAAAGCTTTTTGTAACATGCCATTTTATTTATTTTTTTCCAATATATTTTAGACCGGGACAGTAGGTTGTGTATTTCACTAAAGTTATGTTCTCTAAAATGTATTATCATTACGCAGAAGTCAAAAGCAACCTTTAATGTTTAAGAATTAAGTTAAAAGAGTTGGGGTAGTTTCAAGACCGATTATTAAGATACAACTTTAAAGTCTGCCTGGATTAATGAGATAGATATCAAACATGGATTTACAAATTAGAGCAAATATTCTAAAGCATTTTAAAATTTGAATAGTATTACAGTTAAATAATACTGTGGTAAGCGTACGAAAATATTAGACAAATCAGTTTCAATACTACGGAAAGTACAGTGCATACACGAGTCATGTTCTAAGAGGAAAAAACAGTTCAAAATATTGTTATAAGAGAGAATGAGTGTTTGAAAAAGGAATAGCCTAGGAGCACAGCTACAAAAATACTGTGCATGTGTTTGTCTGTTCATTTTTTACATGCTTATTTCTTTAGAAACTCTAATTAGCAAAGCCAAACAAGGTATGTTTATTTCTTTAACATGTATTCTACAAATTATTTAGAAAAAAAATCGAAGTCAACAGGCAAGGTATGAGAAGAGAAGTTTATGTATAAACACACAACTCTCTGGAATATGTTAACCAGGATATGTATGTATTTTGTGCCCTTACCATCTCCATTTTTAAAGATGATCTCATTGTTTTGAAACAACAGTTCAGACATAATATCTGGGTTTTCCCAGTTCAACCACAGTGGCCTTTTTGCAGAGGACATAATCCTGCACTCCTCGAGCCTACAAAAAGATAAGATTTCTTCTAAATAAGTATATTGTTGACATTAGTGAATGGCGTTTTTGTAATATTCCTGCTCTCTTCACCTTTCCTTCCCCCAACAATTATGGCTGATATGACACTGGATGGGCCGAGATGGACAGTTAACAACCAATTTTCATTCATGAGCCTTAAACTTAAAGCAAGAAGTGCACTAACTTGTGCTGCCTGAGAAGGAAACTGGCTGTATATAATCTTCAGGCAGCATCACTTCTGGCCACATAATAAGGTTCCTCACAAAAATTGCAAGCATTATTCTGTGGTTATTTAAAGTTGTTTTATTGATGCTACTGGCTTAAGGTTAAAAAAAAGTATCCACTATACAATTTTCTTAGTACATTTGCAAATTTTAAAATACTTTTTCCAAGACGCACTAATTTCAGAAAAATGGTCTAATTAAATATTTTGATAAATTCCAAAAGCGAAGAACATACCTGAGATTTCCCAGCTGATGAGCAGGGTTAAGAGGAGAAATAAAACCTTGTAAAGCATCCATGAAATCTGGCCGCCTCATTTGTTCAACAAGAAACTTCATCTGTACCTGAACGGTAATCACATTTAATTTGAGAGCTTTTTGATTATATGAGAAAGATGTACATACATGCTGGGTTTTAATTTTGATTTAAGCTGTAATTTTGTGTAATGCAAGTGTTTAAAAAAAAACACACAACAATCCCACATTAGCCAGAACTGAAGCATTATTTTTATATTACCTGAGAATAGTTGTATGACATAACTTCTATCTAAATGACCTACTCAACTGGCCAACAACAGTGGGTACGGTAAAAATATCTCCAACACCTGGTAAGGAATTTTATTATTTACTGGAGTAAACAATACCACACTGTTTTAACTAACCAAATAAAGACCCAATTCTTATTAAACTACTTTTAAACATATTTAATTCTTGTATTCTGATAACAGTAATACCTTTTGTGTCTCATCCTTCTTCTCCTGCTTGAGAATATCTGTGAGGTTTATCAGTTTCTCCATAGCCTCCACCTGCCTGCTCAAATGTTTTAGGTACATCCCACATGCTCGACAGTAGGACTCCAAAAGTAAACCAAATCTCTGGCTTACATTTTTATTGTGCATTTCAGACCTATCAAAAGAGAACATTTTCAGGTAAAAGAACATCATTTACAGGTATTACTGTTTAGGGCTGATGCTGTCCCTGTGCCCTCTCTCTCAGTGGGCACCATTTCCAAGAGACAGGCCTACAGTTGCACTTCTCTCAGAATGGAATTCCACAATTCAGCCCACTTTTAGGCTGAACGGACCAGGCAACAGCGCCTCCTGCTTACCCCCCATATTACCTCAGCAGGTCCAACTGGTTTTGGTCTCTGCTATAGACCCCACTCTGGGAGCTGTGATCCCCTGCTAAACACAGGGACAGAACAGCTTGTTCAAAACAGTATGATTTATCCATCCACAGGAACATAACAAGCAGAGAGAAAACGTTTAAAAATAACAAAAGCATACAGTCTTGCCCAAACATAGCATTTACCTCATGCAACCAAGTAGGCCTAATTTAGCCTTGACACCCTTCCTGTTTTCCCAGGGACCAAGTTAATGCCTGCTTCTCTGCAGACCCTCTATCTCTATGACTCAGAAGCTCAGCTTTTCAACTACATTCAATCTCTCTGTTTGAAAGTTCCTGCATTGAAACTCTAAGGGTGTTAAGTGGAGCTCTTGCACTCCCCTGCAATGGGGCCTGTCAACCCAATTCCACATTAGTGGAGGGAAACCTCCAAGGAATTATCAGCTCCACTGTCCATTTGAGAACTGTCCATCGGGATTGTCTACACTCAACCATTAACTTTTGGTTCCTAGAGAAGTTAGTTAACTATGGCTGATTTAACGTAGTTACTCTTTCGCCAGAAGCACAGTAACTTCAAAACCCACATGGTGTGTATATATATATATAAAAATATTCATAAAATACATAGAATTCCTACATTCTTCACAACAGGCAATTTTAAAAGGCTCTTGCATATAAAAGTAATTTGAAATATCTTAAATTTAGAAAGCAAGCAACGGATATGAGCTAATTATCTACAGTGGCTATGTTCATGTGGAATTTGCTGATAATCACACTGTACATATCCGGTTACTAACTCCTCAGCAATCTTAATTTAAATTTCAACATCATGCACCACCTATTTTTTTTTTTTTAACTTTTCATTACACTTTCAGCAGTGATTTAAGTAGGAAGACAAAGTGGAACAATGATCATGACATAGCATCACAGGACTGGAAGGGACCTTGAGAGTCATCTAGTCCAGTCCCCTGCACTCATGGCAGGAATAAGTATGATATAATGCAACAACAAAGGTCTAACTATAGGAACAGAATAAGTATACAGTAAAGCCAGAGTGACTGCTTCAGTAAACATTAACTGGACGACAGGAAAGAGTGAAAGAAACAGAAGAGGAGGAAGACCAATGAAGAATGGTGCTCTTAAAGGGGAGCATACTTTCTTAGTGATACTAAATGCAATAACGAGGTCCTGAATAAATAAATAATAATTAAAAGTTATTGATCTTTGTATAAACCTTCCACTGAGAACAGTAGGAGATCTATTGTGGATTGAGGGAGTATGGGACCCTAAATTTATACCCTCAGCCCATCAGAGAAGGAATTCAGTTCTCTTCAGTGACTGAGCATAACATTCCTACCTTAGATACAATGCTGGCTACTACCAAAAAAGAGGTAGTTTATTATCTTCTGTATCTTTCCAAACTTCTAGACACCTAAACTGACTACAGATTTGAGAACTAATTTTGTTTGGGGAGTCATGCTGCTTATATAGGAAACAAAAAACAAAATACAAAAACAAAACAAAACAAAACAAAAAAAACTTATGGTAGGTAATCGCTTAAGAAAAAAGGACATTTTAGTCTGACATTTCATACCTCTAACTACTGTGGTATAGCTTGGTGGAAACCCACCATTACCCAAAAAACTTCCCAAACAAACTTACTTTAAGTGCCAAAAGAAAAAGTGTCCTATCCTTTGATTGGTCAATGCCTTCTTGAGTAAAAATCTCACCAGCAGATTATCCAAATATTGCTCATATTTCAGAACCTATTTATGGGTAAGAAGAAATGAGAATTTGGAACTGTAGCTTTCATTTTGCAAATATTCCCATGGATAATACACATCCAGACAACATACTATATCAAAAAAGAGCCACATTCTGGAAAAGGATTTTATAACTCAAGAATGTCTGGCCCTCATATTTTAGAGTTTGTAAATGTTAGCAGGTATTGTTCCAACCCTGCTTAACAGTACACACACTGGATAAAATCCAAACTTACCACCTATCTGACATTTCCTTTATTGTTAACTTAACTGACACCAACCAAATTTTAGCCTCATTTTGCTAAGGTTTCTAGAATTGCCTCTTCAGGGAACCTGCCCAGTCCATGCTGCAGAAAGACAAATGGTCTGGCTGCCAATGTGAATCAGCAGTACAGCTCTGTATCTCCTTGCAGGGTCCTAACATCTCATATCCTATTTACAGTAAAATAAACCAGGTTTGATCTTTCAAGGTTGCAACTACTGTATTTATTATCTATTCCCCAGAATCACTAGGGAATTACTGTTTGTCAAGATTTCTTCTCTTTCTTCTTGCTACATCAGATTTAAGAAGCAACAATTAAAAACAAATTGTCAACAACAAATATACATAACCTCTAATTTAACAGAACAAGCTAGGGTACCTGTACTAGTTGGATTAAGTACTGAGACAGTTTGTCATCTGTCAAATACTTCTCCAGACACCGAACTGCAAATGCTCGCACCATTGGGTCAGGGTAATTACAGTCCAAAAGCTCCATTGCCTGTTCTGGCTTGATTGGAGGCCAGTCTTTTACCAAGCAGTACATCTGTGTGGAACAAAAACAGCAACCCAACATAATCCAGACATTTTAAGCAGTTGCATGGACAACCCATGTAAGACCAGCAAGCATTTTCCTGTTTAAAAATTGAATTTACTCTTTGATCTCACAAATGACTAACTTGATGTAAACTACAACCTGCTAAACATTTTATCTACTATTAAAAAGGCTATATAGTAAGAATTACCACCTCAGTCATTCCATAGTCAGTAATGTCAACCCAGTGTAACTCACTGGTCAGCAATACATCAGGGATTGAACCAGGGACCTCTAGAGGGAAAAGCATAAGTCTCTTGAACTAAATAGCCTGGCTCTGGAGCCATTAGCTGTAACAGACCCATATCATCTGTGGATCAGGCACAGAGGGGGACAGAACACACACCAACCAATGGGTTGCACGAGCAGAACATATTCTAACTAACGATTGCTCACTTTCATGCAAGTTGAAGAAAATCCATTTTTAAAAATAAAAAACTGTGGTTTAAAATGATGTCTTTTAGCAAAGTTTCTTGAATGCAGTATATTACCTGGGCTACTTCATCTCTCGAGTTCCATTTAACAGACAAAAGTAGTTTTGGTAGAATTTCTGGGGTATTTACACAGTAGTGTCTGTAAAAGAGAAAAAATGTAACTTGCATATACAAACTAGAGGTAAACAGTAAGTAGATTTACTTTGATCACAGCAGACTATGGTCCTCAATCCTGAAATATTATCTACCTTTATGCCTGCAGAGGCCCACTGAAGTCAGCAGGGCTCTGCATGGCACAGGTATCTGTCCAGGCACGCAAGTTTGCAGAACTGTGGCACATAATGATTACTTCTATCACCAGCTT